TGTGAAAGCACTTAATTAGTATACTGGGACAAAGTTTCAAAACAGCTTTATATCACAGAAAATGCTTTCTGTCTTTTTATTCTGCTTTTTTATGATAAAATTTCTGTCATTTTCTGCTTTTTATAAATGATTTTCTGCTTTTTGGACTTCAAAAGGTGGCAGCACTGGATATACCTTGACTATCATACCGATCCACATATACTGCTTTGATCACATACATATTGTTTTTGATCATCCATGACATAACTACTAAAAGCAATGATCAGTTCGAATGTTCATACTCTGATGGAGCTAGGATTCGGAAGGATTTCGTCGACTCTCTGCCGATCAACCATGTCGTACGTAATATGATTGAAGTTTGACCAACGATGATGCAAAAGAGGGATTGAAAATGAGAAACATCTGAACATGTATTTTTATTCAATTTGATTTCAGAATAGATTGCACCACACTGAAGGCTGACGACTACACCTCTCAAAGTCTTGTATAGACTAGTTCAACATCTGCAGAATATTTTTTTTTAATCTAGATTACCAAATATGTTGCCACTTTTGACATGAGCAAAGTTTTGAATTTGCTTCATTATATCTATTGAAGTTCAGTTTACATGTACAATATTATTAGTCTTTCTACAGAAAGTTTATCAAATCTTTTTATTATTGCACTGATGTACTTGTAATATATTGATTTTAGAGGTTTTGTGTTCGAGGTTTCAATAAAAAACTTCAAATTGAACACTTTTCACTTTTTCATTATTCATATTATTCTGTATCGTTTATTTGTTCGAAACAAGGCGTATACTGAAAAAAAAATGATGCGATACAGAACTTTCTGCTATATGTATATTGATTGATAAATATAACATAAAAATTTATATAATTATTTATAATTCGTTATATCGATAGTAATGCTATTTCTATTGCAAAAAAAAAATTAATATCACATGATTTCAATAATGTGATTTTAATTTATCATAATCTTAAGTTCAGATTGACCCTTTAATTCTCAATAAGTTGCTATATTTTCTGTAATTGTAGTTGTTATACAATGGTCCAACAATTGTTCGGCTAAAGCTGAATTTTGGTGCAAGAAGTGTGAAAATAGTTATTGTTTGAATTGCAGCAATACCATTCATGCACAGCCAGCTTTAAGTATACATCAAAGAATTCCCATTGAGAAAAAACCTTCAGAATCCTTGCGATGCAAAATACATCCAGATGAAAAGCTAAAGTATTGGTGTTGCAGTTGTGAGGAAATAATCTGCCCTGATTGTCAATTATCTACACACCATGATCATAAGATTATAACCATTATTCAACTTGCGAAAGAGATCAAGAACGAGGTCAGTATTCAATAGTATGTATGTGTCTTTCATAAAGCAATTTTTCATACAATTTAGCTGAAGGAAGGATTGGAAAGTGCACAATTACCTTTGGAGAAAGCTTTAGCAAATGTGGAACAAATCATTAGTTCGAGTGGAAGTATTAATAAAGACAAAATTACTGAGGCATTTGCATCTATACGTGCAACAATTGATGAAAGCGAGAGAACGTTAAAACAAAGTATTGACGAGATCGAAAGTAAAAATAAGAAACTATTTGAAGCTTATCAAGATGCACTAAGCTGCAAAAAGCAAATGCTTGATGAATATAGAAAAGAATTCACAGATATTCTTTCGACTAATGACTACGCAATGTTATTAAAAGCCAAGAAAACATTGCCCGACAAAATCAACAAAATTACACTAGACTTGAAAAAATCGAAACCACCTGTCAAAATCCAGTACAATGTCGACGGTATCGATGAATTACAAACAACTGTGAACGATGGTCTGAAGCGTGTGAGAATCGTGCAGAAACAAGGTAACTTGTCTATCACTGTTCACATATGTATAAGATTAACCTGAGCACTTTACGAATAAAAGTAAAAACTAAGTTTAGAATGAACAACACATGCGGACTATTCTATTCATATCTATTGTTAATTCACTTATTCCGTGATACTGCGTACTCTTGAAAGATCTAGAAAAAAAAAACGAATGATTGTTTTGTATCACAGGTGCTTCGATAACAACTTCTGTAGACGTAACAAATGCAAAAATACCGAGAGATCCCAACCCAATTCAAGTAATTCAAACGATTTTTAAAAGTACTCTTTTTAGTGCTTACACTTATCTACTACTATTTATAGATCGATACAGCTGCAGCAGCCACCTCCAGTATCGTAAACACTGGAGTTATTTCCAGTTTCAAAAAGGTCAGATGATAATCACTCTAGAAAATGAATATCCATTGAATGTCGTATACTTATAGGTATCCGCTATGGAAATTAATTCTCCAGCAACTAAAGGTAGGATACTGTTGATTATCACCTTGAAAATGAGAGTTGAAAGAATTTTTTGAGGATGACGACTAACAGAATGCTCACTCTGTTTTGGAGCATGTTCTTGATTTTTTTTGGGGGGGAAGAGCAAACTATCTGAATAGATGCATCTATGATTAGAAATGAACGTGTCTAAATCAATTGAGTACACCATTTCATGAATGTTTCAATTAAGATAAATTAGACTTACATATTACATGTAAAACTGTACATAATTTTTCCTTATTAGTTGGAATTAATTAGATCTGTATAAAGTAGAAATGAAAAAAATGAAAAGAACTCATCGCAAATTCGTTTGATTTGCTTTTTATTATAAGTCGACAAAAGATATATCCCAAATTATACACATTCACTAATATAGTTTAGTTTTTGAGTTTTTTCATACATTTAAAAAATTATAGCTTCGAATGACAACCAAACTAGAGCAAACTTTCAATCATTATCATTTCATATTAACAAATACTACGCATTTTTTAGACCAGTCAAAGATTTCATTGATTTTCTTTGGAAAAAAAAATTATAAGAAAACAATCAGCAATTATCTTTTTTAATATTCAGATTCATTTTCCCTTCAAATTGTAGCAAAAACTGCGTTACATGATCTTTTCACATTCATGAGTAATTCGAAAAATCTATCTGAAGTGGCGGCAACACACCAAAACGATTTGTTATTAAAATTTTGCAATCATCAAATGGGAAGATTGAGTAATACACTGAATTTCTTATTAAACCTACTTTTATTTCATGAACAAACTAGAATTATCTGATTCTGTGTAGAGATTGAAAACTGAATAGAAAAAATGTAATTTTAATTGGATTTAAACTTGAAAAAATTCTGCTTAGTGAAGAAGTGTGAGTTTAGGTGAAGACAACGGCAATAGCCAACTTCACACCCCATTGCAATCAAGAAGATTTCATTTTTTTCTACAGTATGAAACATAGGTTAAGTAAAACTCAATGTGTATTAATAGAGACCGTCATAAAACGTTTCTAAGAAGATAAGCCATAAGGTCCTTTGTCTCTCATAAAGATAAAGATGAATTTACACAGCTATTTATTTAGGTCACTCCTAAAATACTGACAGTAGTACTTTGAATGTGGAAGTGTATGAGTAGGAGATCTGCACTATCACCCTGAAAGAAGACTCTATTGCTTCTGTTATTATCAGTAACACTCATGTCCGCTTTCAAGAAGTTCCTAGATAGTGATAGGATGTTAAATTTTATGTAAAACGACACAGAAAAGCTATTTAGAAAAGCGAACGATTGTCTTTTATCGTAGGTGCTTTGACAACGGCTGCTGTCGACAAAGCCAAAGCAAAAGATGAGACACACTCGAGTGAAATTCAAGTAATTCAAATAATTTTTTAGCGTTCTGCTTCCTACTCATACTTATCTCTCTGTGTTTATAGATCGATGCAGCTGCAGCTACCGTCTCCCGTACCGTAAACACAGGAGTTAGCTCCATCACCGAAAAGGTCAGACGATAATCTCTCTAGAATATGGATATCTGTCGAATGTCTTGTGCTTGTAGGTAGCCACCTTTGAAACTAATACTCCAGCATCTAAAGGTAGGATATCATTGATTATCATAGGCAAACATCTTTAGGTCATGTAACTTCTTCAAAGTTGACACATTTAAAATTACTCGATTTTTGTTAAGTAAATGATGATGAAGAATTATGCCCTAAAATAGATCAAACGAAACAATTTTTATGTAATTAGCATCAATAGCTATATTATGTTTTCCATTATAATCTCAAGTGGATTGCATAAACAACTTTTCATCTTGAATTTATTTATGCCTTTATGTTATCTCGATTCGGATTCCAGCTCGATATGTTGAATTTTAGAAACTCAAAATTTGATTGCACATCCAGTAGAAATTAGAAAAAAACATGATGATTTCGCCATCACTCCACCATCTTTCGATGATGATTAAGATATTTTCTTTTTCGTTCCCTTTCTCTGAAAACCACCATATTAGGTGCGATAGTATTTTTGGTCAAACAACCATCATACATATAAGACTTGTTCGAGAGTAAGAACTAAGAGAATTTTCCTAATCCTTATTCCGTTCACAAATGTAAACACAAAGCATGTCATTATTTGAACTAACGTTTTGGACTTGTCCTATATCCTATAAATTTTTCTCTTTCAAACAAATAAGTTGCCAAGTGTATAAAGTCATCAAAATAAGTTTTGATTCTCGAAGGTTTTATAATGATCTTTGAAAGTATTTGAATAACATGAGATCTAAAACAATCACCAAAAATTTTCTTTTAGAGTTAGATCTGTAAATTGAATAAATATTTCTCACAAGTGATAAATCTTATGCATATTAGACATGCACTTTTGAGATCTTCAATGACTTAAGCGTGCGAGGGCGGAGATTTTTTCTTCACCAACAACTATGCACTACACATTCATAGTCCAACTATTTTCAAATGAGTATGCTGTTATTCATTATAGAAACAAGCGCAAGAAGACTGCCGAGTTTTCTAAACATTGGTAAAAATAAAAATAAATCTCTACGACCCGAAATATCAGCACCAATTCAATCTACGTAGGTTAAAGAAAATTTTCTATCAAATAGTTTTATAAAATTTTCTTTCAAGAATGGTTCATGTAACTCATATTGGTGATAAAGATGTATGTGAAATTGGTTTTTTCTCCGTCCGTTATAACTAATATGTTTTGTTTTTCTATAGATGTTTTTTAACAATGATTCAGCAAAAGAACAGTATTTAAAAACAGTGACTTCTCTGCATACACCAGAAGAAAGTGAATTACATATTTTGGAAACAGAAAATCGTCAAGCAGTTCCTACTATTCCATCAAGACCAGATAAACGTGCATTGGATAATAAAAATCAGACCGTACAAGCTCCACCACATTCAACATCGGCGCATCGACCTCCGCCATTGCCCCTGATTAAAGAAGACTTATAAGTGTATCATATCTTCAACTTGCAAAAAAACGAAAACACTTATTTTTCTTAATCACATCGCATCATAAAATAAAGTTCAGTAAGAGCTTCTCCTGATCTATGTGAAGGTAGTGCAACGACCAATCATATGTCAGATACACACCAACCAATAGAAACAACAGCATTAAACACATGCCGCAGTATACCAAATAATTAGATATTTTACATAGTTATCGACAGTATATTCATTCGAAAACAACTAAAGTTGCTGAAGTCACTAAGCTGAACATAAATCCAGTATTGTCAATGATAGGTGTACCAATCATGGAATAACAGCATGAAAGAAGTTCATTGAAATGGCTATTTACAAAATTTTCGTCAAAAAAATTTAATGATTTAATTATTTCGAAAAAACAATGAAATCATTCATTCTATGAATTTGAATTTCATAAGAAATTGAAACCATCGCATTACACTCATTATTTTTGCATCATTCTCATCTTATGATTTTGATTATTTGTGGACATGAGTGTAGGTGTGGAAGTGTAGCCGTTTTGTGTAGACTCATTTTCTCTATAGTGATGCATTTCATTTATCTACGTTCTGATTGTTTCAGTATTTATTCTATTTAATTGAAGCTACCATTCTGGTCACATATAGGATTATAGCATCTTCACATTGATGAGAAATTAAGCTTTTCCCAAAGTTCTATGTAGAATTCCTTAATGAACAATTGTCGCTATTTGCATTAGAATCAATGCCCAATTATCAATTGCATTATTTCTGCTAATAAATGCTCGATTACTAGAAAAAACTTGCGTGAAGTAGATGAAGGTAGATGCGAGTGAATCAACACACATTCACAACTTTCTGCACAACCCTAAATATGGTTACTGTAGTGCCTTGTGTGCAAAGGATCGCTCGACAAAACAGTTCGAAGAAAAATAATGCACTTTTATCGAATATAGTTTGACTCAAATGGAAAAAAGCATGTGATTAGAAAGATATCCGGTTTCAACTCAAACACAAGGACAATAATGTGTTTCTCATGGGCTGAAAGTCAACAGGAAATGAAGTACGAGATAAAGTGGAGTACCAAAAAGATAATAGGATAACTCATGAGAATTTTGTACTACAAGTGAAGTACTGAAGATTAGGATACAGCAAATATATCAATTCGATAATGTTCTTGTGTCATGGATATACACGTTGAAATACAGAAATCTGTCAAAAACTTTGTGATAATGACCATTTTCATCTCTATTTTCACTTTGTTTGTATCTTTCACTATGGCTGTCGGCTTAACTGTTAACACTGAAATGATTCATGTTCCAAATAACAATCTGAATCGAAATTCGGCTAGTTCAAGTTTGATACAAGCACAGATGTATTATGTTAAATACCAAAAACCTTCCATTTACCAACAAACTGAAGCTATATCCAACCCAGGAAGTTAAAAAATAAAACAAAATAATTAGCATTGAAATGATATGTTTCAAATTTATCGATTAAAATAGGCATTTTCATTAACTTCATTACATGATTTTGATTAAAATGAAATTCACTGCATTTGCTTAATTAAAATGTCGCTTTTCATCAATGAATTTGAAAAAAAATCAATTTCTTTGTCCGTTTCATCATCAGAAATGCCATTTTTTTCGTGTTTTTTGATATGAAGCCCTCCAGTCATACACAGCCGATGTTGTCTAGAGTTAATTTCCGAGGTGATTGCTGAATTATTTGTGGTCACTCCTTATTTTGAAAGATATTTATGAAAATAATGATTGATGATAAGCTACTTGTTGGCAGCAAGCTTTGTCGGATATGTAACGGTTATAACTGTAAATAAAATCAACTAAATTTCATCATTGTCCTCATTGTCTGAGACAATTTATCTTCCTGCGGATATCCGCATGGGCGATAAGTGTTCATGTTGGTGGGTGCATGGATGAGTATGAATATTTCATTAACACACTATCGCCCACCAATCCTCTTCGAACTCTCGAGATGGTTGACTGGTTCGCTCTATCCGTTTTATGGCAAGGTGTTTTGTCGTTTTAGTTGTTCTCGCTCGTCTACTCTACAAGAAGCAGTGAGGGTGTGGGTGTGGGTGCGTGGGTATGGGTGTGTGTGGGTGTGGGTGTGGGTGTAGGTGGGGCGTGGGTGTGGGTGTGGGTGTGTGTGGGTGTCGGTGTGGGTGTGGGTGTGGGTGTGGGTGTGGGTGTGGATGTGGGTGGGGTGTGGGTGTGGGTGTGGGTGTCGGTGTCGGTGGGAGTGGGTGTGGGGTGTCGGTGGGTGTGGGTGTGAGTGTGAGTGTGGGTGGGAGTGGGTGTGGGGTGTCGGTGGGTGTGGGTGTGAGTGTGGCTGGGTGTGTGGGTGGGTGTGGCTGTTGGTGTGGGTGTGGTTGTGAGTGCGGTTTGGGTGTGGGGCATGGGTGTGGGTGTGGGATGTGCGTGTGCTTGTGCATGTGGATGTGATGTTGGTGGGTGAATGAGTGTGTGGGTGTGGGTGGATGTGAGTGTAGGTGTGAGCGTGGGTGTATGGGAGGGTGTGAGTGTCTTTGTTTCAATATCAACATACCCACACCCACACACCCACAGTCACATCCACACCCACATCCACAAGCAACTCTCGAGCAGCGGATTCATCCACTTCGGATTTATCAATCATTTTCTTTAACTTTCAATTAATCTTGGCGATCTCTTCTTCCATCATGCTATCTTGATCAAGTTCTATATTTTTCGAAGAAGGTTCGAATATTAGCTGAGCCTAGAAAAACAATACGTAACATATGAATTCCATCTCACACTTACGTAGAAAATCGACAGTGTGAAAATTCTTGTAATGCACAACTGTAAAAGTACTCTTAAAAAATATGCCCACTCGCATCATTTTTAGTAAAACGAGAAAATATATTCTTTACTATTCAGATGAGTATGAGCCATGTTGTTGGGTTTTCTTGTGTAATGACCAGCAAATAGAGAAAACAACACATTATTTTCATACTATGGGGAGAAGCAGAGAAAGGATGCAATCTGTTCATCCCATAGAAAAAATTGAGTAGAGTCATTTTTGTTAGGAGTATAGCACAAGGGGGTGTGGGCGGGTGGGTGTGACTGTGGATTTGAGCGGTGCTGTCAGTGTGACCTTTTCTAATGAATCACACCCGCCTACTGCGTGCAGGTGTGTCTCACAAGAAGCTCTCCATTTTCTTTTTTTTCTTTTTATAACAATGAGATAAAGTTACAAGTCAACATATCCTCATCGGATGACCTGTCAGATATAGAAGCGAGGAAATTGATCGATTGAGTTTTGAATACGAGTCTTATTTAGTCAGATGGGTGTGGGTGTGAGTATGGGTGTGGGTGTGGGTATGGGTATGGGTGTGGGTGTGGGTATGGGTGTGGGTGTGGGTGTGGGTATAGGGTGTGGGTGTGGGTGTGTGAGTATCGATGTGACATTAACAATTACAACACCCATACCCACACCCACACCCACACCCACTCACACCCACCCACACCCACACCCCACACCCACACCCACACCCACCCACACCCACACCC